AATCATACAGAACATATCTGATTGGAATTAATAACTATTTTTGCTTATACTCAAAAATGATGCTTTTTAGACACTAAAATCTAAAAGAATCAGGAGCTCCAGCGATGAAATAAACAGAAATGAACAGTAACAGAGTACAAATCTTATCGATTTTCAGATTGTCAAAAAAAAAACTATCTTTACTGAACTACCTCCCGTAATGATCAGTCGGAGCTTTGGGAAAACCATGGCAATTTGGATAAGTGAACATACTCGGCCAATCTTCAGCCATTATCGATGCATAGGTTTGATTTGTAAAATCATACGTTACCGTTTCGTTTATTTTGATACCATGCTGAAATGCACTTGTCGGTTTCAGTCTATCATTATGAATAAATTAAAGTTAGAATGCTATAACCAACTACAAATTCTATTAATTGACCACTTTACAAATTATACGTTACTGTTTCATCCATTTCAACACCATCGGAAAATGCCCTTTTTGATTTTAGTTTATCATTATGAATAAATTAACCTCAGGGTGCTTCACTAGATGTCTCAGAGATGAATTGCAAATTCTGCTAATTTACTAATTTACAACCTATATAAATCATAAGAAACAAATGTAATGATGGAATTAGATAACTCACATTTTCATCTATTACAAAAAAATATTTAGTATAATTATTACATATCAACCTGCTATTACTAATATAGTTCATTTCCTAAAATTTTCGTCGCTTAATGGATGAATTAATTATAGGTCTACCTACCTTACAGAACCGTGGGTGTTCTGAATTGTTTTTGCCGGGAAAACGATTCGCATCTAAATCAATGGTACGAGTTCCTGAAATAAAATAGGATAAAGAAAAGAAATTCAGTTTAGTCAAACGTTTATATGTATATGTGATATATTCAAAAATACAAACTGTAACCCTCATTTAATAGTAATTATAAATTAAGTTTAGTAATAAATAGTGTGAAAATTAGTAATCGAATGTTTCAAATTTGTCTAAAAAATGTGATACAAACAAAAACCTGAAAAAATGGCGTAAGCGTTCGGCCGGCTGTTAAGGGCAATTTTATTATGATGATAAAATGTTGTTGCATCGTAAAATTGACGGAGAATCTCAAAATCATAACTTTTACATGAACTTCTACAAATCGCTTCATAAATTTGTTCAACTCTCATTGACCTTTCAACTCTAATCCAAGCTCATAAATAAAATTAAGATAATTTTCTGTTATTGTTCTATATGTTATCATTAGTAATAAATACTTAGAAATCTACTAGATTTACAAAATCCACTCGATAAAAATCAGTAGGGATTGTGAGTGTCTGTCAATTAGAGAATCAGTAGGGCTTATGAATTTATGAATATTGTTAATACTACTAATTGGACTTAGTGAATACAGAAATTATAGAACAATTGACATTAAATAAAAATCGGAATATATTCGAGAAATTACTTGGTTAGTCTTGGCCATCGTGCGAATTCCCGAAGAGAGTGAGGTGGAATCGAGGATAAAGATAAATACCCCAGGATGTAAGTTATCCTCTTTTTGGAATATTTTCTGTGTTGGTCGTATTACCTGAAAAAATTACTCATCGCATTTCATTAACACATTCTTGTGAAAGCTACCACGTGATATTGTCGATTGTAGTTGTTTCCAATAATTAGCGTTGGCAGAGTGACAAATTGGTAACTACAAATTAAAATTGACGAGTTTCCAACTTACTCAACCTCATACCGTATTTTTCTACGGCAGCCTAGTCAATCCGAATCAAACTTTTACGACCAACTACTATCTGGGATACAATTTGATATTATTTAATTAATATTTCGTCGTTTAGTAAAGTTTATTCCGACTAGCGTTTGCATTAGCCAACCAACTATCATCAATCAAACAAGCTGGAATTTCCGGTTAAACTTGAAAAGAACCTGAACATGAATATAACGAAACGTGGTCGTATTTCCGTCTGTACAGTGTGTTTCGATAAAATCACAACTTTCATAATATGTCACATTTTTTTCCATTTCTGTCCATTTACCGCTTATAAAATTCCTTTCGCCGTCTTTATAAAGGCATCGATACTCACATTTTGACGTCCTAAGCTGTGATTTAGTAAATGAGCAGACTTAAATTTGTGATGTTTTTGAGACATAAATACATTGTGACAAATACATTGGATTTATCTTTAGATTTTCATTCATCTCTATCTGCCTGCATGCGTGTTTTCATGTATATTTTATACTACTTTATTTTCTGTTTCGGCTAAAAGAAACTCACAAAATTCGACTAATTCATAAGGCCGAAGTTATCGATAGAATAATAAAACTATGATTCAACGTACGTGTTATCAAGCATTCGAATTGAGCCATTTTTTAATTCTGTATGCATAATACGAGTTACATTGCATTCTTTTAATGGGTCCCAGTCTGGGTACAAATAAGGTAGTATTTCAGGATTCCAAGGATCTAAGTCCATGAGACGACATTTTGTAACATTTTCTTTTCGAAGAGTTATGCCTGCAAAGCCAAATCAAATTGACGTAATGTTTGTTTAATATTTCTAATGCAAGTATATATTGTCTTTACTTACATAACGGTACTTGAATTTTTTCATTAATTTTTAAATCTGTATGCTTCTTCAAAACTTATCTTAATTAATATGAGCTGATTTTTTTTTTTTTAAATTTTTTCGAAAATGCAAAACTAAGATGAAAATATCTGCGAGGCAAAGGTTATAATAAAAACATTACCAATTTCACGAAAAGAAGCAAATGATTGTTGTAAAATTATGTTCGAATCAGTAGCAAATAAATAGAAATTAAATAACACAAAAAATGTGCCAATGAGAAATGTAAATATGATAAGGAATTTTGTTGCTTTTAAATTCATTATATGTGCTGAAATAATAATCATTTAATGAGACAGCAAAATTTTTACTAAATAATGAATTAAATTTCTGCGCTATATGAGATATCTAAAGCAAAAATAGCCAATGCTTGCGACATCATTTATGTTCAGTTATATTATCAGCAAATTTTTTTAAATATAAAGAAATTGAATTTTATTGTTTAGGCAATGAGTGAAAGAAGAATCTTTGATAATGAACGCTCTTTTCTCTATTCATTTATATTTGTGCTTATGAATCAACTATTTATTTTTCAAAACTTCAAAAAAAAAAAAGGAAACAATGATTCTAAGAACTTCCAAAAAGCTGAAATATCAGAAATTAATTTGATCAGAGAAATGTTGGTTAAAAAAAAATGCTTTATTAATTTAATTAATTTGGAAATATGAAAGAATAATTTTAATGTACAGGCAAATTTGTTGTGTGCTTTAAACTTACCATTTAAGTTCGTGTCAACCAACCAATTTGAAATTGGTAAATCTATCAGTACCTAAATTCTTTTTTTTATTGGAATTTTTTCCAGAAACAATTTTTTAAATTTTGATTAACATTAATTAACATCAGTCAAGTGATATATGTGTGACTGAATATGGGTCTTCACTGGAAACAAAAAGTCAGTAAGTTAGTATCATTTAAAATGATTAAGTTTTAGTATCATTCATATATAGCTAAACAGAAAGCTGAAATTGGCAAATCTTTCAGTACATAGTTTTTTTTTAATTTTATTAAAGTTTTTTCAACGACTTTCTTATCTTTTAAATTTTGTTTTCAGCGATACGTTTTTAGGGCATTCAGAGGATGCATTTATTCATGTATGAGTAAGAAATTCAAAAATGAATTAGCAAATAATTGCATAAAGACTCTTTCAAACTATTGAAAAGTTTTCTTTAGCCATTTTTGAAACTTTAACCATTTTTTAACTTCCGTTTAGAACAATGCAATAAGCAAACATTTCCAGCACTGCATTTATTCATTTACAAACAAAAAACATTTTCAAAATTCATAAATGAATTATCAGCTTTTCTATAGAAATATTATTAATGTTTTCTTCTGAAATTTTTGTTGTTTAACTTTGGTTTATAAATTTCAAGAAATTATCACGAGGATTAACATCCTCTAAAATCCATTAATTCACATTTGGTTTCAGCACCGCTGTTGTTCACTCACTGGTTGTAGTGGAAGCAAAAAAATGTTTTTGGAAACAAACCTTTATGATTTGGTTAAATTGTTATTCGGGGGAGAAGTTTGATGTCAGGGAGATGTGTTGGATGCCAGCTAAATATTTGGGCAACAATTGAATAAAACTGATTCGGAGGATTGGATGATTTAAAAAACTGATCTAATTGACAATAGTATGGTTATAAATCTACATTGATGTTAGACAATGATCCAAACAAAGGAGAGGAGGTGCTTGCATGGGCACCAGTTGCTAATAAAGAGCTTATTAGATAACCGCATGATTATGATAGCTAACAAAGAACAATGTAGATATCCTCATGATTGTAAGGATTGCTAACAAAGAACGATGTAAATTGTTTCAATATGTAGAAGCATAAATTTGGAAACAAAGAGTCCGAAGTATAAGCATTATTTGCGGAAATTACGTAGATATCTTTTACTACAATTTGCAACTCATATTTTTAGATCGCGATATTAAAATCCGCGACACTCCCGACCGAAGGAGCTAAATGCTTTAGTTCGTTGGACAGCTTTGGTTGATTGCTTCGCCTTATAGCGCTTCTAGTTCGTAGAGCAATTGGTTCTTGTTCATTGACATTTTGCACTGATTTGTTAAACATTGTTGGTTGAGGTCAATTTCACCTTTGACTTCCAGTGGGTATAACATATTCACCGGTCTGTTGAGTATTTTTCCTCGGTAATTCTATCGAGACACTTCTCACTTCTCCATCCTTTCCTGTTTTGATTTCTCTTATTCTGGCTAGTTTCCACATGCACGGGAATTTCTGGTTCATTTAGTAACACAATCTCTCCTCGTGGGAGTTCTTTTTACTACATCTCTCGGAGAAGAGTGTTCCCTTTGTGCTCTTTCTTTAAGAGTATTTAAATATTCTTCCATATTTCCCAGAAGGCATCGAGGGCCTTTAGTGTATTTGACCAGTATTGAATGAGTTTTTCTCTCGAATCCAATTATGAGGGATAAAATCATCCATTTCATTCTTGTTTTTAGCAGGCATGATTAGATGCGCATTCGGTAGTATAAAGTCAATTGGACGCAATATGATACAATCATCAAAATTTACGTAAGTTAGTGGTCGAGTATTCAAAATACTTTCCACTTCCGCTACTAGCGTAATCAATTCCCGTTCCCATAATAACTTTCTGCCGATGGCTCTTTTCATTGCCCTTTTGTTAACCCAATAAGTCGCTCATATACTCCTCCGTTCCAAGGCGCCTTTGGTATTATATTTTTCCAGATCATTTTCCTTTCCGCTAGGAATTCATTTAATTGTTGTTTCACAATGATTTTAAAAATTAACTGGAATTGACCAGCGTTGTCGCTTAAGATTAATTCTGGAAAGCCTCGTCTTGCTGTAAATCTTCTGAAAACATGTAAAAGCTTTCGGCTGAAAGAGTTTTACTACTTCTAGATGTACAGCTCTTGTTGTGAAACATGTGAATAGTGCTACCCATCTTTTTGTTAGCCCATTATCACTCCTGATATTCACAGGACCTAAATAGTCTAGTCCTACTCGCGCAAAGGGTCTTGATCTTGTGGTCCGAGATGCTGGAAGATCAGCCATAGTTGGTAATTTGAATGGTTTAGTTGTCCAGCGTCTGCACTTCATGCACTTATTCAAGATTCGTTTGACTTCCGTTCTACCTTTTGGGATCCATATCGTCGATCTCAGATTTGAGAGTGTATGAGCAATTCCAGCATGATACAGTTGTTCATGTCGTTGCTGAATAAAGAGTTCAGTTATGGTGTTGTGTCTCGAGATATATTGTGTAAGTTACTCTCTTCATTTCAGAGTTAACTACGCGGCTTTTGTATCTCCATAGTTCGTTATCATAGAACAAATTCCATTTGATTATTTCATCTTTGGTAACTCCTTCTGACTGTGCTTGTTTGAATAGCACAATTTCTGACAACTCGTAATCCTGTGTTGTCAATATATTCTTTCTTTCGTTGCCATCTTTAGCCAAGGAATTTCCCTTTTCATTGTTAATCTTATGAATTTCAGAACCCAACCAGTTGTTCTTATTAATCTTGACCATTTGCTAAAACGACTAGCATCTAAGATTCCGAAATGTTTGTTTATGATAATTGGTTCTGTGATGTGGGCCACAATTTCTTCATCCTGGTAATCCTCATTGTAATTGTATTTCCACTGTGGCCATTTTGATTCGTTTTCTGTTAACCACTTTGGTCCTTTCCACCAAAGATCATATCCTTTTAGTTTATTCGAGAGATTCCTTTTGTAGCTATATCAGCTGGGTTTTGTTCACTTGGGATATATCTAAAATGGATTTTCGCCTTCGTATTTCTTCACCCTATTTTGTATGAACGTTGGTAGTAAACGGAACTATTGTGAACCCAATGAAGCGCACATTGAGAATCGGACCATAAAATTGTTATCACGTCCTCAAGCTCTTTTGTTTTAATACGAATTGTACCATTCTCACTCCGATGAGTATTGCCAGTAATTCTAATCGAGGTATTGACATTCCTTTAATTGGCGCAATTCGGGATTTAGCAAACACTAAGAATACTTTCTTGAGTTCGAATGTATAAAGCTGCTGAGTATGCAGCAGTTGATGCGTCAGTAAAAACATGAAATTGTACTTGCTTGGAACAATTTGTTGTGAATCTTGGTAGATCCTTTAGTTTCTTTGGCCATCGTTCGTGAGTATTTCCACGTGGTTTCATCTTCACTTATAGTTTGATCCCATGAAAGGTTCTTTTTCCACAAAGTTTGAGAAACAATTTGAATCTTATCAGTATAGGAACTATGAATCCTAGTGGGTCATATTTGAGGCTACGAATTGCAATATAATTCTTTTAGTTAATTTCTTACCAAACCATGGTTTTAACGTTACTTGAATGATATCTTGTTTGTGGTACCAATTGAGACCTAGAATTTTTTTTTTTGAACTTACCTCTGCTCGATCTTGTACCGGAAGTTTTCATTGACTTTTGGTCGTTAGAGAAATTCCCGTACATTCATTGATGCTTCATTGAATATAATTTTAATTTTTATAATTGGAAAGAGCTTCGTTGGTTCCTTTGGTTGGTATTATAATGTTATCGACATAGTTTTCCTTAACTCGAGTGCGATTTTGCTTTTACAAGTTTCCAAATGATAATTGAGTGTAGCGGACAATAAAAATGGAGATGATACAATTCCAAATGGAACTCGTTGGAAACGGTAACAACTTACGTTTTCTTCGTTAACTGACTTCGAATGTCTTTCAACCAAAGAAATCGAGTGCAGTTTCTATCTGTTGGATGCAATTCTATTTGCAAGAACGCCTTTTCTACGTCTGCTATTATTACATTTTTCATTGTACGGAAACGTAGCAAAACTCCAACCAAATCAGGGAGTGTTATTGGTCCCCGATATAAAACATCATTTAAACTTTTCATTCCTTTACAATGAGCTGATGCATCATAAACTATCCTCAGATTTGTCGTGGTTTTATTTGGTGTTATTACTTCGTGATGAGGCAGATAATGAATAATACCAACTTCATTCATTTCCGATGACACTTTCTCAATTATATTGGAATTGAGTTGTTCTTCAATAGTTTGATTGTATCGACTTAGTAATTGAGGTTTCATTTGAAGCCTCCTAATTAACGACTTTAATCTTCCAAGGCAAAGTCCGAAATTATCGCTTAGTTTGTTCTTTGAATCTTTCCAAGGCCAACAAACTTGATATCTTCCCTTGTCCCTAGTGATAGTTTGTTTAAATTGCTGCAATGCTTTTTCATCATTGTCAGAGTTTATTTTGTCTTGTATACCCATTATTTCCAGTTTCCAAAAGTGATCTAAGTCTGGAATATTGACGGCATTGACTTGAGAAATCGGACTTACTGATGTGGTTTCTGAAATACTGTCGTGTATCATTTATATACCCACTTCCAGCTATTATAGGTCCAACCTTTGTATGGATCAATGAAAATCCTGATTTTAAGTTCTCTGCTTGGTCAAACTGGATAAACTTGAAGAAGTGATCCGCACCTATGAGTATGTCCGGTTGTTTCATTTGTTTTTGAAATTACTAAACTGATTTCGTTTGTCTATCATCAACAATTCCTTTGTTTAGATTAACTACTTGCAATTCATTCGTCAAGTGGTTAACTGTTATTACATCTAATCGGATTATTTTTATTTCCAATTTTTACCCGATTTCAGTTTTAGTAGTGATACACGTTTTTGGCGTCTTATCACCAAATGAAGCAATTTTTATTTCCATCTCGTTAGTTTCTTGTAGATTCAATCGATAAGCCAAATCCTTTGATATGAACGATAATTGAGAACCAATATCGAATAGAATTAAAGCCTTTTGTTGGATTTTGGGCGATTTGGATTGGTTACATTTATTTCCTTACATAACAGTAAGGTTCGCTTTTTCCATTGATTTCCTTTTCGGTAATGGATTAGCGATTGTGACTGAACCCAACCTTCTTTGTTGGAATCCACTGCTTGCGTGAGTTCCTTGTAGTTGTTGGGACACAGTGCTGTATTGTGGACTTTTACAATGGAAACACAAAGGTTTCCCTTTACAATCACTTGTTGCATGTCCTTTTCGTAAACATTTGAAACATGCAGTGATTTCTCTCAAACGTTCCATCCGGAGTTTGAGAGTGGGATAGATGTTACATTCATTGTTCCAGTGGTCCTTATTGCAAAATACGCATGGTTTCCTTTTCCCATTTATAGAAATTTTTCCTGGAACCTGATTTGATTGTATTATCTCCCTTGTTTGTTGATTGTATGAAAGCTGACGTTTCGCCTCTAACATTATTTTTGTTTGTTTTCTTCTCCCTTGTGTCTGCTTGACTTCTAGCAACTTCTTCTCTTAGAACTAGTTTTGTCAGGTACTGCCGGATATCCTTAACTGACCAACTCGTCGAATCCTTTCAATTGGTATAATTTATCAATTATCCACGCTGGTATTTATTTTCAATTGTAATTTCGATGCTTGAATGCTCTAAATTTTCACCTATAGCTTCCAGTTGTCGAAATGTTCTCTCCATGGCTTCTATGGTTGCTTTCCACTCGGTCATTTTTTTGATGGTATTCAACTCGTTGTAGAGTGATTTCTTTATAAGGAAAGGTTTACCATATTTTTTCTTTAGTAAACCTATTATAACATCGTAGTTTTCTGGCGCTATATCATAACCTCTTACAGATAACAAAGCATCTCCTTTAAGACATGATATCAGATAGTTTAACTTTGAATATCTGGGATGCTTTGCTCATGGACTGCTGCCTTGAAACTACACCAAATTGCCTCCACAATTTTGGATCCCCACTAAACGTTATTAGTGTAATTGAGGAAGTTTTATTTCTGCTTGATTTGTGTGAATCATACTATTCTTTGGAAATGATTCTTTGACCTCTTCTTGTTTTAAATGTTGTAGTACCGAGCAATATTCATCAGTATGTATTTTAAGGGTAATAATAGTTTCTCTTGTTCTAGTGATTAAACTTAAAATACCTTGTGGATCGTCAACCATATTGGCATTTCGTCTCCTCTTCCTTTCTCCTCGTTGCTATTGTCAAGCTCTGAATATTATCCAGCCAATTTTGATTAGCTGTTTCGAGTAACCCAGCATAATATTCGAGATGTGCGATCTTCTCCTTGACGATTCGCAATTTAATTTCGTATTGATGCTGAAGTTCCCTCGTGATAGTGTTTGAGACGGGGAGGTCAGATCGAGTTCACTTGCTTCTTTAAGAAGTTCTAGAGTTCTCGACTTCGATAATTCGCTTCCTTTTCTTATACTGTCGGACATGTCCCGGCTCGTGGCACCAAAATTGTAGTGGAAGCAAAAAAATGTTTTTGGAAACAAACCTTTATGATTTGGTTAAATTGTTATTCGGGGGAGAAGTTTGATGTCAGGGAGATGTTGGATGCCAGCTAAATATTTGGGCAACAATTGAATAAAACTGATTCGGAGGATTGGATGATTTAAAAAACTGATCTAATTGACAATAGTATGGTTATAAATCTACATTGATGTTAGACAATGATCCAAACAAAGGAGAGGAGGTGCTTGCATGGGCACCAGTTGCTAATAAAGAGCTTATTAGATAACCGCATGATTATGATAGCTAACAAAGAACAATGTAGATATCCTCATGATTGTAAGGATTGCTAACAAAGAACGATGTAAATTGTTTCAATATGTAGAAGCATAAATTTGGAAACAAAGAGTCCGAAGTATAAGCATTATTTGCGGAAATTACGTAGATATCTTTACTACAATTTGCAACTCATATTTTTAGATCGCGATATTAAAATCCGCGACACTGGTCAAATAAAATTATTTCCCTAAAATTTCCTTATGTAAGCATCTAGTGCGATAATTTCTAAATCTTTTCTATCTTCCGAATAGAGATAACCACATACAATACTAGTAGAAATAATTATTGCTAAAACAAAAGAGAAGAAACGTATACATAATAAAACAGATATCACAGAACACTTGAAATAATTGAATTAATGAGTAACGGAGTGAAAAGAAATATTTAAATCTCAGATTTGAAGTGAATTATGAAGTCATTATCAGAGACAAAAAGCTACATTTTATTAGTTAGGCTCGTCATTCCAGGTAA